CAAAATGTTGAACTGTTGACTTGCAATTAGAAGCATGCTGTGTACATCTGCTTAGCGATTTCGATACGGCATTTGTTGAGATAAGACAACCGAAATGACCTATATGCCAAAAAGTCTTTGTGGCCTTGACTCTACCACATCTGCTGATCACATCTTACATCTTGATAAAATGCTCTGAATCTAAGCAAAAACACTAACGCACACTCGCTAGTTGAAAAGAAACGTGCGGATTTGAAAGCGTTGAATTTAATCTATTATCCTAACTGGAAAACTACACTTAGAAAATATCTAGGACACTGTTTGAGTAGACTTATGGGAGTCTCACTCTGAGGAGTATGTCCGCCCACCAATAACGGTGAAGCGTTTTCGAACCGCTTCTCTTTATTATTCATTACCTTACATTCTGCATTTTCCATATTAAGGATGAAAGAAGCGTTGCAAACGCATCATAATGACTTAAGGTTCGAAGCACGACTACAATTACTCATATTGCTCGTGGATATTAACGCAAGCGGAAGCATGCACTGCAAATGCTCATGATTTGGTACCTATAGTCTGAACGATAGATAGAAAAAGCATAGCACAGGCATAGTTGAAGGTGGTATAGAAACCTGACAGCATTTTCAGTAATAGTACATAACTCACTCAATCAAAAGATTATATTATGGTTTGTTCGATATTTGCAAGTTTAAGTTGCGCTGAGAAAAGCATCCTTTAATCAAAGCAACTAAGGTTGTCTGCATCCAGAAGCATAAATTTCAGAGCCGATACAGCGAATGGCTGGTAAAATGGGAAGGTCGAGCAAAGGTTCTCTACAAATAGAGGTAATCAGGGCTCTCAAACAAATTTAGAACCGACGAAAAAAGTTAGTAATCCAGCCATTCCAATGAGGAGTTATACTCTCAAAGATTTTCAGACTAGATCTGCTATTTCTCGAAATCTAATGCATATTTATCCGATAGAGATATCGTTCGATAGAGCACAGCAAGCTCTACAGGGTAGTGTGCAAAAGTTTGCCCAGCTTCGACTTACCGTAAGTTTGCATCCAGAATCTGAGTCGTACTGAAGCTCGGAAAACTGGGAAAAATTCATACTTTTGTGCGAATAAATCTTACAAATCTTCAACTTGCTCACACAAGTTGCACCACATTAAATATATGCGATTCAGAGCACGCAAAGACTGCGGACATGTCGGCGTCTCTATGATTAAGCGCTCTTTTGGTTCTCTCACCATCTGCTGTCTCTCCCTTGTACGAACTAACTGGGTCAGACGCAACGGCGCCTAGTCTTTGAGTGTCACGAATCGCCTGTACTTATGTGTACCGTTCCTATACTTTTTCCCGCATCCAGAAATAAAAACGTAAGTTCTTCTTATACAAAAACGAATCTGTGCTGCTTCCACCCCCATAATTGTATAGCACAAGCCCTTAGAAATACAAACCTAGATTTTTAGCTTTCCGCAAGCCCAAAAAGCATCGATTTTAGCATGGAACAACCGAGCGAGGAGAGCTTAAGTTGATATTTTTTGGAAATGAGAGCACGTAGAAAGCTGAAAATTTACATCCATACTTCTAAGGGCTATACAATCACATGAATGGGAGCAGCGTAGCTTCGTTTTTGTTGTAGATGAGACAAAAATACGGGAACGGATATGAGTGTCATACAGTCTGCCCCAATCCTAACCAGGCCAAAATTGGCATGGCGGGAGTCCGCGTCTCAAGGGTTTCGCGGTCACGCCCACGGCCTGCTTCTCTGCTCTCTCTCCAATCGTTTTGCTCTCTCCGACAGCGCGCATAGGCAGCGCAGACCGCTAGCGCTGCGAGCGCGCAAATTTACGCCGACGGTTCGGCCTGATCCCGATTGAAGCAGACTGTATGTGGTGTGCAATTTGCGTGAGCAAGTTAATCCATAAAATTTTTTTAAACGAAGATATGAATTTTCCCCAATTTTTCGAGCCTTCAGTACGACTCAAATTCTAGGTGCAAACTTACGTTGGGTAGAAGCTGATGCAAACTTTTGCACACCATCTTGTAGAGTTTGCTCTGCTCTATCGAATGGTATCTCTAGCGAGTGCGAGTGCATTGAGTTTCTAGTAATAGCAGATCTAGTCTCAAAATGTCAGAGAACTTTCGAGCCAACCTAAATATTAGGTTGAACCGAAAATTCGTTCGCACCATTTTCAGAAAATCGAGAAAAAGTTTTCCTGCAACAATCCTGCATAACTAAAAAAACCTTAGAAAGAGCAAAGCGTATACTTAATGACGTCTTGCTTGCTCTATACTAAGCTTTGGTTGCAGAGGTAAAATTGAGAAGGAAATCACTTCAATTTCGGAATTTTGAAGCAAGCCCGTTGAAAACTCCAAAATAGTGCCATAGAATCCAAGCAAACTGTATACTAAATTACTTGATAAATTCTTTTTATAGGAGCAAATCACGCGCTGATTAAGCTGTGCTTTGGAAAGTTATGATTTTTGAGAAGAAATTTCATGAAGTCATAATCTTGAAAAACTGATTTTTTGGCATTTCGTTTCGAAAATCAAAAGTTTTTGAAGAAGAGCTTGATCACCGCGAATCTTGCTCAGATAGAAGAGATAAAAAAGCTAGTTTACTGCCTGTGTTGAGCTTTAAGACAGACTTTTGACATTTTTGACGGGCTTGCCTCAAAATTCCGAAATTGAAGTGTTTCCCTATTCTCAATTTTATTTCCGCAGCCAAGCTTAGTAAAGAGCACACAAGGTGTTCTTGGAAAGTACACGCTTTACTCCTCCTACTATTCTAACGAATATAGTGATGATGCATAGCTTGTATGGTATGACTGGGTTGAGGTCTGACCATGCCCTGCTGAGCTTACAGACGTATAGCCTTTCAAAATGAATCATGTAAGTGTTGAAGAGTTCAGAATGCTGATTAATCTTGTCTACCTGTTTGACAATTTTTCGGTTGTACCCGCAACCTGAGCCTAGAAAGTGCCTGTAACCTCGCCCTTTGAACTGTTTACCTGGTCAGGGAGATTGAGATAGCCAGAATTCAGAGCCGCCCTTTACGACATACATTCCTCGGAAAAGGTTACTTATAATTGATGTATGAAGGCTCACGTATAAGTTTGAGACATTAAAACCATGAAACCTTGAGCAACACTATAGCTGAAATTCTTCGTATTAATGATTTACAGAAGCTGGAAATTGTGAAAACCTTTGTAATGTATGGTAACCTAAAGTTGTGAAACTGATAAAATACAGAGTAGTACTCCACAAAACTGATGGTAATCGCTTCCTTAGTTGATGTCTCCATATCATCAAGTACGCTTCCCCATACAAGAAAAAATGAGACAAAATACATATGAAGATTGTCCAAAAGCAATGTCAAGGTTAGCGTTTGATTAAGATCAAATTGGCAGCTAATTTCAAAGTGCAGCTTATATTCCCATTGGCTTCCTTTAGGCTTGTGATCCACTCCGTTTGTGACTTCAACTTTTTCTGTATTCAAGTAGCATTTCTTGACATGGGCAATTTTATCAGAAGCTGACATTCTTTGGATGCCTCACAATGGTAAGATACTAGCTATTATGGTTTCAGTGTGATGATACATAACAATAAATCGACGATGTCAAGTCGGAATAGTCAATCCAAATTTTCATCTCGGATGTATCCGGGACAGTTCGTATAAAAACAATTTTATTTCTTCTGGGAAGCCCCTTTCTACTGCGTAACTCATTACCTTCAATTTTAATTACTCTATTTTCACGCGTATAGGAATTGCGGGGGATTTTTCTCTAGCATCGAACAGCACAGACACGCCGAAGGACTTCGCTACCAGAAAACTATATAGAGTGCTGCATATTGCCTGAGTGTATAGTGCGGTATAAGTCTTTTCCCGACATACAACGAGGCGCTTCAGCGGCAAGCCTGAAAAACCGAAAAGGTGCTTCTTATACGCGTGAAATTAGGGTATTTGTTACAGCGCAGATTTTGTTGGAAACACGCTCTTAACTTTCATATAAAAGCACCACAAAGTAGAAGGCAGCTTCAAATTCAGGTGCTTTCAACGATTTTGTATGCATCAAAATCTTATGATACACAGATTTTGTATCGAAAGCCACGATCATCAAGCACCTTCCCTTTGTTAGTATGTGTTTCGGCTAAAAAATTCGCACAAGTGCAACAGACTGATCAAATCGCTGCTCGAAGTGTCAAAAGAAGTAAAGCCACAGCAAGGCATGCACTACTTCAAATAAATCAATGCAGCTATGATATTGAAAAATAATCCAATAGACACTTTAGATCGAGGAACTTTTGTGAAATCCTCATTTCTTTTGAGAAATCTTTAGACTTGGTGAAGCGGAAGGATAGAGGGAATAGAACAGCTTTTTTGGACTTATTTCATTGCAGCTAAAGATTTTCAGGCAGTTCACTCGAGACCTCTCCCAATTTACGCTTCTTAATGGGACGGTAAGCTTTACTGGTGTAACTGTTATTCAAACGCAGATGTAAAAAAGGTCTAAAGACATTCATTCCAAAGCGAAGTCATGAGATCTCAAAGTATATTAGATGTCTGACGGAGAACATAACCACTTTTGGAGCTCTAAAATTTTTCTATCAAGCTTGCATAGTTATGAGCATTTTATCGGCACTCTTATCAATCTGCACTCGCAAGGACAGATCTATGCTGTGAGTTCTTAGCATTCACTCAATTGATGCTAAGCACATTGCTTTGCATGCTAAACTTGGTCTTGGTGAAAGCAAAACGCTTGTGAGCTTCCGGATGTGATCGAGAGACACGTTGGCAATCGGCAAAAGTTAATGAAAAAGCATAGTGCAAACAGCTAAAAAATGAAGGATTTTTTTGGAGCAATATGTTCGTATAAAAGGAAGACCAGTATAAAAGGTGCGGAGAAGAAGCCGTTATCAAAGCTCTTTCCCTCTTTTGCTTCTTACAGTTCATTAATACGAATTGCTTCAGAATTAAACAAGTGTTGGCGAACTTGTTAATTTTTGAGGAAGATGCTACAAATACTTGTTCTTGCTGCTTTGTGCTTTGAAGCTCACGCTGGTATTACGCTGAAGGAATGTTTAGACAAAGAGGAAAAAGTATGTTTTTGAGAAGTTCGAAGCACACCTCATTCTTATTGTCCTTTTACCACATGTTCCAATGGCATTAGTAAGAAAAACTAATCAAATTTGCAAAAGCCCTCATGAAGACCACTTTTCAAAGCAATGCTCAGCTACAAGTTTTCTCTATGAGTAAGACTTTATGTACTAGATATCCAAAAGCACATAAGTAATACAGCGTTTCGGTATCTGATGTGCCTTGACGTTTGCTGGAAAACTCCGATGGTCGAGAGCGCGCATCTGCATCTGATGAATAAGTTACTGCTTCCACTAGCGTGAAAAGTTTTCAAAACAAAAAATGAGGAAATGTGAATTTACTTACCAAGGTTGTCGTAAGAAATTCTTGAGAGATAAGACTGTGAATGCCTTCTTATTACATGTTTGTAAAGCACATTTTTTAGTTCTCAGAGGAGGCACTTGATTGCGACGACATAGTTCCAGAATCAGTATGTGAAAAACTTTTCGCTCCTGCAGGTGGTGAAGCCAAGGCTATAGTGGGTAAAAATGATAATGACAGGCCTAAAAATTGCTATTCGGTGAGTCAATAGTTTCAAGGCAACCTGAATTTATCAAGTGATTTTACGTGCAAAACCTGAAAAAACTGAATTCTTCTCTCAAAAATCGCGAAAGATCAATCGAAAAGCTTTCGATTAATTAAGAAACTCAGAAACTTTTTGAGAAAATGAGAAGAGCTATTTTGGCCTAATTTTATTCTACTGCATAAGCAGAACAAAATTGAAACTTTTACTGAATCGGCTTTAATGTTGGCATTGGCAGAGCTTTTTCTGGCGTTTCTAAGCAAAAATCTGTCAAAGGGTACCCTATCATGAGTACTTAATTTCGCTGCAATGTTGTCCAAGAAAATATTGATGATCCACAAACCTGGTATAGGTTCAATAGTTTTATGAACTTCTCAGGGCCAAGTTCCTGCATAAAGCAGCATTCATCCTCAAGAATTTATAATTCAACGACAAGCACATGTTTCAGGACGGTACAAATCAAAGTGACGATTTTATCAAGGCCGCCACGAAAACATGCCCAAAATATTGTGGTCTGTGCTGCAAAACAGCCAAATTCGACTGTAAGGATGATGAAAGTAAGCTGACAATACGATCACATTTTCAAGATAATTCTATACATCAAAGAATATTCAGTTTGTTTCAATCGACTTTCACAATGCAGATTGGTGCTCAGCCTTACATAAATTCAATCTCTTTTAAAATAGCTAAGCCAGCTATCAAAGGAACAGGTCACTCGTGGTCTGCTTATTCTTTAGAAGACCGTAGCTTTATCATCACACAAACCAAAATGTTCCTAAACGTCTTTAGTAGAATTTATTATGTGTAAATATAAAAGATCTGCAAGCGTTTTATATTAGTCGCTCGCTAGAATTTTGCTTGTAGTAAAGAGTGCGTAATATCGCAATCTTCAAAGAACGAGTACTGGTCTTATGTTGACAGCGAAACTCGGAAAAGTTCAGAAACATAAATCAAATTAATTTTAGTTATTAAACAAAGAGTCCAAAACCAAGACGAGAGAAGTCTGTTACATAGTGTTCTATAAGTATATTGCACATTATATAGCGTTCGACTGCGACAAGGTGAAGAAAGCAAATCAGTGCAAGGACCCGTGGAAATCGCAGCTGAATTTGGTAGATAAGTGTCCAAAAACGTGTGGTCTGTGCGAAGAAAAGAACGGAGGTGATTTTTGACGGCTTACTGGAAGGAAAAGTGAGGTTACAAGATACTTTACACTTTTCACTATCTGTGCACTTGCCGAAGCTTCCAATGTGTTTAGTAATATTAATTGTAGACAACTCAAAGAATGAACAAAAACCCGCACCACCTAGTTTATCCGGAAAGAAGAAATCGTCATTTGAAAGTTCAAAAAATTTTTAGCGGCGCCTTTTATATGTAACTCTTGAAGGTCAGCTAAAAGCCCCAGAACTGGAATTCTGGTAGAGAACTAGCGGTTACCTCAGTGTTATCCTTGTTGAAAATAAAAGAAAAAATCTTCCAAGAATGAGCTAAGAAATTTCAGCAAAATCACTGGAAATGAGTAAGTAAACGTTCTAATCACGTCATGATTTCAATCGATCTGATTTTTGTCGAAACTGACTAAATTTCTGACAAAGTGTTAAAACTCACTCTAGCCCCTCCTGCCCTTACCGCCACCCATCTGAACCATTTCCGTGTTATGGCTCGCTGAAAGGTCTTTTGATATGGCTCACATACTGAATATTAGAACACGTGATACACAAGCAGCAGCAACAAAGCGAAGACAATTCGACTGTTTATATATTTTTGTGGTGGCATAGAAGGAAGTGTTTGAAATTTTGCTCTTCACTCTCGGCTTTATTTACTTGTTTCTAGACTGCCAAGATAAAGAGCCAAATTGCGACGAGACTCAGTGTAAAAACTCAGATTTCCAGGCAGCAATGAAGGTAGGTCAACTTAAATTGCTTACAGCAAGATATGCTAACCACTCAAACCATAACAACAGAAATATCCTAATAACGAGCAAATTTGGTGTGCAAGTATTGATAACTCTGGTGTGCCCGAATTCCTGGTTCCTGTCAATATATAAGGCTCTTCCACAAGTTGTGTCCGTTTTGACTTTAACCTCAATAGGTCAATCTCTTTTTAAATGAACCATCGGATGCCTTTTGATAGGATAAAGCAGATTAAGAGCATTCAAGAGCATCTTAAGAAGCAGCAATTCAGCATGGCAAATCATATGACGCATGCTATTGGTAGGATAGACAGTTCCTGTTTCAAACATTAAGATTGGAGAATAGCCGCTGTGCCTTTAATTAAGACTGAAGAGCTGGTTACTTTTATTGCAGAAATAAATAGTATTGATTCGAGCTGTCTTGAAAATGGTAACTTCTCAAATGCATTATTCTGCTTTACTTTTCCACTCTTGTTCGACTGTGGTGAATACTGACTGCAAACGACGTTTGCTATGCAATACGTTTCCTAGCCCATGTATTGTGTATATCGCATTGACAAGTAAAAATAGCATCCAGAACCAACTTGATAAGACTACCTTTTTTGCTTCGGAGGTAGTAGCTAATTTTTTTCGTTCCAAAAGTTACATGAGCGAGTTACACTTTGTTGCAATGATAATAGAAAGCCTATTAGACGGTTTCTTCGTAAGTTCTCTAGTTTCGCCTCTTGTATAGCTGTAAGTTATGCCCCCAATCGTGTCTAAATGATTTGGCTTCGAATAAACCACTTGCGAAAACTAGAGATAAGTCGAGGAGGTTCCGCAAACTTATTCTTTTGAGTATGTCAATTATATGCACTTCCAGGTAAATTGCAAAAAGACCTGCAATTTTTGTGACGAGCAAACAACCGCAGCTGCTGACACTACTGCACCGGCAGAAACGACTACAGTGGCTGAGGAGACGACAGCATCAGCAACAACAGGTTTTGAATTTCAGTTCTTTTTAAAGATGCTCGTTTGAAGTAAGTGGGTTTAAAGAGAAGCTCTGCAGCTAACGAAGATAGTTTCGAGATCAACGTTTTAATGCAAACGTTTTGATCTATAACATATTCCAAAAGGGCACGGTCATCAGTTATCCTTCTCTCGTAAGCTACATTAAATTTCAACTCCACTCCGCTGCTGTAGTAAGAACTTTAGTAACATCTACTTCTAACTATGACTTTAGCTTCTTCGATGATTTGAGAAAAGCAAAACGGCGCACGGATGTGCAGAGTCTTAACAAGAACACATATAGTCGACCTTAGATTTCAATACAAACGAGCTTGTCAACAAGAACAACGATAACACCGCTAAGCTTTATTATCGCACACCCTCGCCAGGTGCACAAAAATTGTGCCCACTGTTTGATCGTTGAGAGCTCCTTTGCACGAAGCTCTTTTGGGGATCGGGTGATTTTTTGCAAATTTAGCAAATTTTTGCATTTTTCGAATTACATCGCACCGAGTAAACCGATTACATCGCACCGAGTAAACCGAACCATGCGTAATTTGCGCTAAACTTTAATTTGAGCCAGTGTAACGCAGTTGTAGCTAACCAAGAATGCACCAAGCCAAGAATGCAGCTAGGTTACTTTATATTCTTAAAGCCTAAAGGTGAGCAGAAAGTGCAATAACGTGCTCAATTTCGCAAGTTTTACGTACGATTTTTTCGCAATAAAACTGCTGCTAACTTCGTCCACAAAGGCGCTAAGCAGATATGGAATACTGATACGATATCAGTGTTGAGTGTTGCGTAGAATGGTAGGCAGTTTGCTTGGATTGGCCACTTCGACTTCTGACCGTTCCCTTGTAAGGCCAAAGACTATGAAGTAAGAGAGATATTAACGAACAAACAGTTTGCAACAATTTTTCCTATGCTCTGTATATATAAATAATTTTATTTTCAATAATTTTAGAACCTACCACTACTCCCCCTTGCGGAAATGACCCGAGGCAAGTACCTAAAACATCAGTAATAAACATCTAATAGAAATTTTCAGATGTGCTAAATGGGTACAGAATGGGTTCTGCACGAATACCCTCTATCCCGAAGACTACAAAATCAAGTACTGCGGAAAAGCATGCGGAAAATGCTAATCGCAGAGTCGTTATAAATCAACAACTCCTTCATTGGTCGGTGTTGCTTTTGCTCCAATAAACACTACTCTTTGACTGGTTTGAGGAACAAGACAAACGTTATTTAAGCCGAACTGAAGCTTGAAGTTTTAGATGAATCGCGCCGTTTTAGCCATCCATGAAAGTAGCGGAAGCAAATATTTGTTGCAGGAAACAAGAACATCAAATAACATATCACTCAGAGTTGGTATATAACAAAAAAGAGGCAGCCGCCAAACTTGGCGGTTTCACTGTTAGTTGACAATACATTCATTTTAGTCGTCATATACAGGTGTCTCAAAAGTGTGTGTACGTTGATATCTTTGATATCTTTTTTCCAGAAAGTTTTTTGCCCATATTCAGGTGCTTTTTGTAAAGCTCAACTTAGATTTACTGTATAAAGCGAATTACCGATTACTCTTCATTACAGTGAATTACGCTAGGGACTTGGTGAGATTTTGAGCCATTGGAAGCCATATTTTGCTTTAGAAAGATGTCCAAAGTACTTGAAAGTTGTGCACTAAGCTAAATAGAGTTGCTGATTCTGAATAAAGCATTTTACCATAAAGTTTCGTGAGAAAGCTATATCAGATATATGTAACAGCCGTTTATTCCTCACGTCTGAGAAGTGATTACGCCGGTTAGAAGGCTCCAAAGTCTTGTGGAAAATTAGGTATTGAAGACAGCTTTCGGGGTATATTTGGTTCTGTTCAAGAAACGCTTTTTGCAGTGGTACAGCACTAATATAGACGCAGCTCATCTATCACTGTATCTTTGAGTCATTTTGTGGAGCATGGAGCTGACTTCTATGTGCTCGAATATTATTGGTGGGTAGTCTAAACAGGGAAGGATACTTAGTGACCTCGGCCATTCATAATGGTTTGTATATAAAAAAATGCGCCTTTCAATGCTGGTTTAAATACTGTTCTCCATATCTTTAGAAACTTTAGATTCGAATCTTTAGATTTGCTTATTTGGTTTCCGACAGCCATGACAGCCTCACCCCGCCACTTACAAAATCTTTTTTCAAATTCATTCAGAATGTCAATGATCTTCGTTTCTTTTCCTAGCTTCTTTCGCTGACATTTCTACTTCCAGTGACCACAACTATCTGCAGAAGTTGCTTTACTTTAGACCCATTTTTCGCCAACTTTTCGAGAAGAATTCAAAATTTCAGAAGCACTTCCATTTGAGGGCTTGTTCTCTTCATTTGACAGGTACCGTCTCCTGCACTCCACTTTCGATAATGCTGAAATATAGGCGTCTAAAACTAGCATATTGTGGAAAATATGCTGTTTAAGTTCAAAACTATGTCCGACTGCACTGTCGGCTATAGGCTATTATCTGTGCCTATGATCTGTTGCCCATCGTCGGTGCCTGTAGAAGGCGATCCGCAATGTCATGTAATCAGTCCTTTTCTGACGCTTATGTGGTTTTGCATCTACGTAAGCTCTTAAAGGCAGTGTCCCATCAGACTGGGGGTATCTCGCTCTCGTAATGATGTAATAGTAGACCCCTACGTAAGCGATGACCGAAGTTTGGAGCGAAAAGGGTGGTCTACAAAGCCTGAAATTTGCTCCGAAAGTAGGCCGAATCTTACGGTAGGATCGGGCGAGTGCGAGGTGCATGCAAGGTAGAGACGCAGAGTGGTTGCGGGTCCTTGCGCTCATGATGTGTGCGCTATACGCACTCTGACGCTGCAAATCGATATTGCCGTGTGGGCGGCGTTCGGCCCTACCGTAAGATTCGACCCACTTTCGGAGCAAATTTCAGGCTTGGTAGACCCCCTTTTTCGCTCCGAACTTCAGTCATCGCTTAGGTAGGGGGTCTACTATTACATCATTACGAGAGCCAGGCACCCCCCAGTCTCGTGGGACGCTGCCTTTGAGGGTAATTAAGTAAGAATTGCAAACAGAATGTTAAGATGTAGCTACATGGAGCTACATACTACGCTACATGTAGTTAGTTATATGTCGGTAATCGGAAAAAGGGTTTAGTTTTCGAAATGGAAAGATTCGACAAAAGAATAGTGCGAGCTTGGAAAAATTCTTTTATTTAGGAGAGAATGTACTACTTCTGCAAAGTGGAAAGTCCGAATTCGAAGTGCACACTCTGAACACTAAACGAGAGAAATTTGAATTTAAGTTAGATAGAAGGGGCTAAGCGTAGACCGTCAGGTCATTTAAGTAAGAATTTTTTATGGAAGAGGAATTGTCTTGAATCCTTCAGAAAATCTCCTGAAGATTATAACACAGCGTTTCTGAGCAGATACGAACATTACGAGTCATTGAAAAAGTTGGAGCAGTGTCATGGACGCGTGTGACAATAATGAACCGAAGACTTCATGAGTTTGTCAGAAGCATTTTCAGTAGACCTGATTAAGTGGTAAAAAAGCCCGATGGGCCCGACTGTCATAAAAATAAACACATTTTCCTAACACGCCTTCCTACGAATTTCTGATTCATGTAGGTCTTGTTGTAAACTCTTCACGAATTTGGTTTATATTAGTAATTGGCTAATTCAATTTTTTGCAGTGTCAAATCCCAACATGCTTTTCAGCGTTATCATGAGGAAAAATCGGTCCTTTGCTGTTCACTAAGACCAGACAAATTCTATAGTGTCTCTGTCTCATGTCGTCAAATTCCTTACAGTAGCTTTTGGCTGTGATGCTTCCACCAAGTTTGCAAAAATGTAGTAGATAATGCCATTTGCCACCCACCAAACTACAATCATTACCCTTTTCTGGTGCAGGTTGGGCATGGAAAACTATCTAAACTGCTCATTTTTTGTCAGACCACTGCGCAAGTCCTCCTGTTACCGTATAAGATTAATTTTCGTCACATATTACGAATTTTCTAAAATATAAATCATTTCCATTGTGCAGAATCAGCTCAGTGAAGATTGCTTCGACATTTCTGGTTGGCGCTTAGTTTTAAAGCACCATTTTGCCCCTTCTTTTACTTCTGCAACTTATACAAATGAAGAGCAACTATGGTAGATGCCATAAATCGCGATTTTTTTCAGTAAAGGTAAAGATCATATTCTACCCTAGCTTTTGATTATTCATTGAAACAGAAAACGACGCTTAGTACCTTCCTCATCTGCAAAACTCTTCACGTCATGTTCATCCTGAAATCAGCGTGATGCATTGGTGGCAATGCCCTCCATTCACACTGTTTCGATGTTCCGAGCAAGTTCCGCTGCAGCATGCTTTAGCGATTATTCGTATAATTAATCAATCCGTATGATATGACAGAGATCTGTTCACACTCTTGGAACAATATAAAAAACGTAATGAAATAACTAACATTTAGTCCCTAAAAGTGCTCGAAGGACGGCAATTCTTCGGCTTTAAAATAATATCAATGTCGTCAATCCATCCCAAGTGGACCGATGCAACAGAGACTTGCACGGAAAAACGTGCTTTGATTTTGTTACAACCTGTAGAAGCGGACTCATGACTTAACATGTCCTTTCAAGATGTAGCATATCACGCTGCAGCGGCCGCGGGTCCGCCGCTGGCAATTCAAGTGCGGCGGTTACAATCTGCGGTTCGGCCAAACAACCACATTTTCAAATTAAGTCCACGCACATCGAAGTGACAGACAACATGTTAATGCCTGCTGAAATCTTTCCACCATCTTAATCATGCCATCCATTCTTGAATCAGTGCAGACGTTTGGGAGAATACGGGCTAAGGCTACATTTTGGAGTTTCATTGACTGGTAGGACACGGCAACCAGATTTGATAGCTGTTGCGCATACCAGCTTCTAAAAATGAAGTCTGAAAATTATGGAGTCATCTCCTTCAAAATAATATCATACGTTACACTCTCAGTTGATATTCTTTACTGTCAGAGAAGTATATGCAGAAGTAAATGAAAGTGATGGTGGAAACTACAGCTCACAGAGATTTTCAACATTTCTGAAGTAAGTTACGAGAATAGACAAGATTCTAGTAAGCCAGAGTGCTGTCGGCCCTCGTTGCAAAAAAGTACGTTTTCTATTAGGTCCTACGGAAATTAATGCAGGTTTTAAATTCCAACCGCAATAAGTCATGCACTTCTCATTTCTAAAAAGGTTGCGAAGTACCATTCGATAGAGCAAAGCAAGCTCTACAAGATGGCAATTTGCTTTAGCAACAGCTCTGATCCACCACGTTTCGAGAAAAAAAAACTAAAAAGATCCAACTGCTTAGGAAATCGAGAAAAATCGTAACTCAGTTCAAAAAAATCCTGCAAAAATTCTAATTCTAAATTAATTCAATTAATTAATTCAAAAATTCTAAAATTCTAATTCTAATGCCAAATTTGGCTTTTATCACTCGGGTGTTCAATGCTAAATTAGGTATTTCTCGAAAACTAGGGCTTCTGGGAAGCTGAAAATTTACGGTTATACTTCTAAGGGATTGTAGTATACAACTGCATAAAAAGAAACAGCATAGCTTCGTTTTTGTAAAAAATAAAAAATTTTCATTTTCTCGATTTCTAGATGAGGAAAAAATACAGCAACGGTGCATATAAGTGTTTGATATAGTGGACAATTTTTATGAGCAAGTTGAAGATTCGTAGGATTTTTCTGAACAAGGATATGAATTTTTCGCAATTTTTGAGCCTTCACTGCGATTCAGATTTTGGATGCAAAGCTGCGATGGATCGGAGCTGGTGCGAAGTTTTGCATATCATCTTGTAGAGCTTGCTTTGCTCTATCGGTTGGTACCCTGAAGTCCTGCAAAGACTATGAGGTGTATGACTTATCGCCGTTAGAAGTTAAGTGTAACAAGACTTATGTCACAACCTAATACTTTTACTGGTTTGTAGTATACAACTACACATGTGGAAATGGCACTTTGACAAATGCACGAAAGTTTCCGTTTTCTTGATTTTTAACAGAGAAAAGAATACGGCAACGGCGCACATGGACGTTTTGTTTGGATAGTGTTCACGTGAGCAAGTTAGAATTTTTGCAGGATTTTTTTGAACTGAGTTACGATTTTTCTCGATTTCCTAAACAGTTGGATCTTTTTAGTTTTTTTCTCGAAACGTGGTGGATCAGAGCTGTTGCTAAAGCAAAATTGCCATTTTGTAGAGCTTGCTTTGCTCTATCGAATGGTACTTTGCAACCTACTTCGAAATGAGAAATATATGACTTATTGCGGTCGGAATTGAAAAACCTGCATTAATTTCCGGACAACCTAATATTATACTTTCTACTGTAGAAGTTGTTTTTAGTTTGCAAAATAGAAGTCAGAATCAGGCTCTGTGGTAGTGAACATTACGGCAACGTCTTTACCCGCAAACCTAAACATAATACAGCTTCAACGATGAACATTTATGCAGCATAAAACCATAACTTATCATAATACAATCAATAGCATCAAACAGGGCTATGATTTACAGCATGAAGGAAAATTTGGCAATTCTCATTCAACTGACTGAATTCCTGTTCTGCATCTGGTCATGCCTCCTTGTAAGTTACTGATGGAATGCTAAGTAGAAGGAAAACGGGAAAAATACCTGAAGAATCAGAAAGATGCAACAAGCGAAAGAACTTGGTGATTGTGACCTTATGTCTTATCTATTTTCTTTATCTGCAAGACTTCGGAACAGTAACGAATTTCGCTGTAACTTGCACACTTTTGGACAGTCACACATTCATGTCGCTGGTTGCTTTGGCTTTTTCACGTTGAAACTATTTCTCCGAGAAAGCACATATGAAAGAGAAAAAAGAGAAAATTTTGCGCTAATATTTGACCTTCCACACAAATAGTCTGCAGGGCAGGCGGTCACCGTAAAATGAATATGCTTTGCCAATTTCTCCCACTTCGCTCGCAAAATTTTAGAAAACTTAAGGCGCTCTTCCCCGATGTTGCTTGTAATCCCTTCTGCGCTCTGATTTTCTGCAAATAGATTGCTGCATGATTGTAAATAAAAAAAATCAACAAACGCCCTGCAAAAGCTGTGGTAAGCTTTACGAGTTTCTGTAGTTGGACTGGCATCAGCCGGCTATTTTCCTGATGCTCGCCTACCCTCAATATTGTCTGAGCAAAACAGGCTAATGCAATTTCGGTCGATATATTGTGTTTTACTCGGCAGATATATCAAATATCATTCTCGAACCAGGATATGAGGGCACAACTATCGATACAGGGCCCATTTGAATGGCCACTCACTAAAGTTTTTCCTTGTGAAACTCCCTGCGATAAGGCATTTCTTGCCTCTCTTTCATGAGCCAGTCCTCTGCTTTACGGCGAGAAAGTGGTCAGAAGTTGAAGCGGCCAGCAGAAACAAGCTGCATATCATCAAATGAGCATGAATGATTATATTACTAGTCTACTTCTACTACTGTCTTCATTATATGCTGAACACCTTCGTAGACAAAGTTACAAGCCATTGAAGGCTATTATTTTTGCCAAAGGGCCGGGCATACTTCAAGTGATTTCAATCGCGACGCGATTTGGCAATATTCCAGGTGTCCATAACTCATTGTAAGCACATTATAAATGTACAGAAGATAGGGCATTTCATCAGTTTACGTAAGTTATACACACTATGCATGTGCAGTTTGCTAATATTGGATCCGAAGACTTCTGGCAAATTGCCAAATCGCGTCGCGACTGAGATCGCGTGAAGTATGCCCGGCCCTTAAGAGCTCACGCGTGCATAATGCAGATCTGGCGGTGCAGAGCCATGCTCGGCTTAATACTGGAAAAACCTGTAGCTAATAGTGAGTCCCATTACGTAGCCCCTATCTGAAAGTAAGCCAAAAGGACAATAATGTTTCGCAATTTTTCTGCATTCTTTCGCAATAAAACTGCCCATAACTTTGCCTGGGTTGGGCCAGACTGCGCTGGCAAAGCGGCGAATATACCAAGCATACGCCGCGTACGCCGCGTACGCCGCTTTCCCCGCGAAGTCTGGCTCAACCCAAAGTCGTTCAGCAAATAGGAAGACACATTTGAAGTCAGCATTGTATGCTGCAACAAATGGCATGCAGCCTGCTTAGATCGCCCGCTTCGACTTTTGATTATTCTCTTGTAAGACTCTCTAAGAGGTGGTACAGTGTATGCCTGTTTAGACCGTTGTAGGAAAGCTATTCTCGTTCTATGCATAATCATATAAAAGGTTCATTATGACAAGCAATAACAACAGGAGCAAGTTTCACGTTGTTGCTAGTTTTTTGTTGTCATAACAACTGGGTTCGCAACAAACGCTTTCTCTTAATTTTATACGAACAATCATCTCCTCGATATCAAATCTGTGCATCTGTGCCTTTGTGTAAGAAATCGGATGTGCAAAAAATTCAGAAAACTTTTTGGAAGATTGCGAATACTTATCAGTCATCTATGCAAAGCCGGACTTTCCCTATGATGTGCGACCTATGTAGCAAAAATATTTCTTGTCATTAGTTGCACTGAGTTAATTAGAAGCGAAAACCTAAATAACGTATTTTTACAAAGCAATAGAATTTCATATACCTTCCCGATTACACGTAGCTAGTTCATCAAAGAATTGCCTAAAAACTAAGTAAAATCTTTGCAATTGAAACAAACTCAGAGAACTTTAAGCAAGCATTTTTGCTTTTTATTTTTTTGAAATTTATACTACGTGAATTTCCGATAGATTGATCTTTACCTTGAGACCATTTCCTAAATATGTAAAAGCAACTAAGCGCGCCGTCATTAGGAGAGTATTATGTGCAATAGGATAGATATCGACAGCAATGGAATTGAGACTGTTCCTGTATAGCTATGCCTGTATGCTTTTGTTAAATATTTCTTATACTATCAATTCAACTATAAGTGCATAATGATCGGAAGGGTAATCGTTATGCTTATACTTCCCATCTAATGCAATCTCGATCAGAGGCAATGTCCCGCAGTACAAGGTTGCGTTCATAGTTCTTACTGGGCCTGAATTGGAGGGTTGTTTGAGTATTGCTTGCGATAAGAACAAACCTGAGTGAAAGACATAGTCGAGCCGATCTTGCGGCTCAGGAACATATTTATAGCCCCACAATTTACTAAAATGATGAATAGGCGACCAAGTATGGCCTAAAAAGCATATATCATCACTGTAAAGAAGCGCCATATGATAATGTCACAGAATCAATATTAGGCAAACTAAGTAATGATCTATAAAAGTTAGGAGACATTGGTTACGACTCAAGATTGCACTTGCCTGGATTAATGACAGCACTCGGATAAATTGTTCGATATGCATCATGAAATCCAGCCTTCTCGAAGAGTTCTGTCACCGGCCACCGGACCACCCAGTCACCGTGGCGCTTTCTGCAAAACCTCTTACACCCACGAAACATTTCGCCTAAAACTTATCGTCCTCAAAATAGGCACAGACCTCGTCGCAACCGTCCAGTCGAGATGTGATGGTGTGTTAAGATCTCCAGCAACAACAACTGGTAAGCCTCTGCGCTGCCATTCGTTGACCAAAGGATGATCAAGAATTTCTTCGGCATTTCTCACTCGTCCTCAACACAGGCGAGGTTCTACTGTCATAATGTACAGAAGAGTAATTTCAAACCTGAGCGATATTCCGAACTAATTAGCTCTTCTGATGTGATTGCCATTTCTAGTTGAGCTGCTACTGGACCAAACATTTTGAAGTTAAAATGTGCGCTCCATATCAGTAATGGACGCTGATTCTCTGTTTCTACCATGACTGCTACAGCGCGCGAAGTGGCAGTACATGATCCTATAATCTGTACAAACACACTCCTTAGAAGTTTCAGAACACTTTACAGAAGGGTACACGTAAAAGATTTTGTAAAAGGGGACTCAGCAGAAAATCCTGAATGGCTTTCAAAGTCTTGAGAGCTTGCGGACATTTGCTCACAAATTAACCTATGTGAAAAAATAGCTGCAGAAGCTGGTTTTAGCATGAACCTAACTCACCATGTTATTACTTCCCAGTCAATGGCTTCTATAGAAAAAAATAAGCAGTCTACTGCGAAAGGTAGTATATAAAAAAATGTTTATGTGTTTCAGTGACTGACTGTCAAATATAAATTCTCTGGGTCGGTAGTAATCTGGTCGAAACTCCGAGTTTGAAGCTCCGCGCTAACTCAGAGATAACTCTGAGTTCCGTTTTTGAAACTCTGAGTTACGCTTATTGAAACTCTGAGTTCCGCTTTCGTAATTCCATAATTCCAACTCTCAAGCTCGGAGTTTTGCTTTGAGCAGCTGTTAAGCACTTTGCTGCAAAAGCGACGTTAAAGTAGGGACTCGAACCTGTATGGTCTAGCGTAAAGATCCTATCACTAAACCGCTAGACCATGACACACCCATGAACCCTAAAATTGCTTTGCCATAATGTACTCACTCATTCCATTAACACTTAGCAGGTCAAAACAAGTTATACCAAAGCCTCACTCATTTTCATTTCTATCGGGCAGTGATGGTTCATCACGAGGATTGGTCTTTTGTGCAGCCGAAAGCTTCAAACAATAGAGAAAGTGGATGGCATACGCAATGATAAGAATTGACTAATAGGATTTGCGCACAGAATAAATCCTCCTGGCAAAGTTTGCCCTTCCATGATTTCGTCTTACTTACCGTATACCTACCGTAACCTTCCATATGTCACCAGTGTATGTAGCAGATAGATTGTCCGTAATCTGCACCTCGAATAACCCCAGTGTACCAAGTTTGATCAGTTTCGTGATTTTCTCCCATCTACCGTAAACCTACCGTAACCTCGTCAGATGACACCACAGTATAATCTGCATGTCATATTCGTTATCGGCACCCCGAATAACCCCAGTGTACCAAGTTTCGATCAGTTTCGTGATTTTCTCCCATCTACCGTAAACCTACCGTAACACCTCTATATGACCCCATAGTGAAAAATGGGTACCATATGCGTGATTAGCGCGCCGAATAACCCCCTGGGCCAAGTTTTTACAAAATTTCAGAATTTTGCAAAACACTGCGCACCACGATACCCCCATCATGCCTGCTTAAACTACGAGCAAAATGTACCCCGGAGGACTTTTTAGCTGCCCCTCTTCTTTTGCGCACTATTTCTCTTTCTCTGACCAAACTCAGAGTTATCTCTGAGTTCCACGGTAGACTGGAACTCGCACCAAACTCAGAGTTATCGCAGACACTAGTTGCGCGTTTGCTGGCGCTGTTTCTTGTGCAGGAAGATTTGGACAATGTTGCGCTACTAGGAATAAACTACGTGTTAAGGAGAATCCATCCATATCATCGCTTTCCGGATTTGATCTGTTCAAACACCTGTTAAGGGGGTCAAAAAGTTGCGCGTTAGCTCAGAGATAACTCAGAGTTAACTCTGAGTTATAACTCTGAGTTTCGATAGGTTTACTACCGACCCTGATTTCTTCTTATTGCCGTTCCATATCCTCTCCATCAGTGTTTGAAGTCCCAAATGGACTTTATAAAGAAAGAAGCAGACTATCAAACATAATGATATGCGAAACTTTTGCAACTTTGGCATAATTGCAGCGGTATATCTTTGAGCCTTTGTGCTAAAAACCGCAGCTGTCGGAGCGAATCGTCAAATACTGTTCATTAGTGTAAAATAACGTTATGAACTTCGAGAAGGAATTTGAGCCATTGAAAGTGATACTTGCTTTGGGAAGAAAACCAAACAAATCAAAAACTGTAGTGGGCAGGTTGAAGTCGCTGATTCCACATTTGAAATTTGCACTTCACTGTGATGCTACGGTAACAACTGCTTTTCAATGTTCGTCAGAAATGTGATTATAACGTTGGAAAAACTGGTAAGAGGTTGTGCAGTGAAATCAGTACGCCTAAACATCTTGCTACACTTTTGGGAATTTTTTTCTCATCAAAAGTTCTATTTCACAGTGGCACTGTACGCTAAGTTCATACCGTAATCCTACAGCAATGAAGAGTGACTGATGAATCGCTCCGTATTACAAGTATAAGTTGAACCTCGCTACAAAATGGTACATCAAGCTCAGCAAAACGCACGGAAGCAAGGAGAGTTATTAACAAGCATGTGCACATATTTTTGAGACACCGATACAGACTTTTATGCGTGACCCTTGACTGCTGAACTGTATGAACGAAGCCGAGAAGAGATATTCGGATATGCCATACAACTCACACCAAATACAATGAATAAACATATTTGGAGCATGGTGTGTGAAAATCATGATGATAGCATATCTGGATCCAAATTCATTTCCAAAAATTCTTTGAACTATTGTCATTTGGTTGTGCATAACACGCTGGCATTCTTATATCTTAATCTACATACATAATCTTTATGATAGGCTCTTCTGATGAGTAAGATTCAAAATGCAGATGCTTTAATAAAGAATAAATCTTTCAAAGGTTTCTTAATTACTATCTGTGATTTTGGATAGATCCAAATGCATTCTTGATGTATAAAGTGAAAATGACCATCTGTAGGAGGAGGACTTGTAGCTGATTATGATAATCATGTAACTGCGTACCTTTAATTTTGTAAGAATTGCGACATCAGGAATTGAATTTTCGCTATTTGTACATCTCATCCAGTCCCAATTTTCACCCAGTTGTTCGACGACAAAGTTCAAACCTGATTCGTCGGAAATTTCCTGAAAAGTTTGCAAATGCTGCTGGCCAATGACAAGAATCAGTGCGCGTGCTCTTGCTGCAATTCGTATTACCAGTCAACTTTACTGGAGATCAACAGCTCCTACTTGATCAGTATTACATTGCATTGCATATAGAGTGGCATGTCCGTTAGTGCTAGCCAAAACTATAGGTCCATCCTAGAAACGCCGTGACTCACTTAGTTATTGCAAAATCAGTTAGTCGGTACACTGTGCTTACACCAGATACTATAAGCTGCCAAAATTAGGCTTGCTTTCATTTGATTATCCAGAAAACCAGAAATTTTCAAGAGAGCAGGCGACTAGGCTGGCCAAAACTGTAGGCCCATCTGGAGTACTTTACAAAACATGTCTTATTGTTAGATTTCAGCTCTTATGTAGGTATATAGTCGAACGTGTCGAACAGTCTGTTAGAAACGCTTAGCTTTTCGACTCGAAGATACTTTTACACGTACTTTGCTCTCTGTTTGAAGTGTTCGAGAGGAAAAATTTGCAATCTGTCTACTAATTTGTCATCGAGGAAGTTCCGTCTTTCTTAAAATGCTTAGCGAAGTAAGTGCTTAGAAAAAATTTTGGTTTTGCTGTCGAGGCAAAACAAACATGGGCCTAACCACATGCGTCACCTCGAAATTTTGGCTTCGATCGTTTTGCGCTATCGTACAACTTACAAGCTCAAAAAGCAGGAACCTTTTTTTATACAAAAGAACTGTTTACTATACTCACGGATGGTCAAAATGTCGCAGTTCGCGGCGGCGTGGCAGGAGTTCCCAAAGCCTAGCCGCTTTTCCTCACAGGGGTACTTGGCACCTCCAGAAATCCCTTAAAGGACATCACACCTTCTCGGGGGCAAAGGACGGCTCCGCCATCACTCCTACCTCTAGCTGCCCTCATTATGAATGTGTACACGCACTACAACGTGTACTGTTTTTGAATATGATAGCATTGGAATCGAGAAGCAAAAAAGTTCTTCAGGGTAAGGCTTTAGGATTCGTACATGACTGCAGCTGAATTTCCTTCGGATTTAACTTTAATTCACGTTTTCGGATAAAATGACGCTTTCTCAAAATTTTGTAAGCGCTCGAGAGAGAGTCAGTTTGTGAAACATATCGTATTATTATAACTCGAGCAGAAGTTATGATTCTTCCAATCACTGTATATAACAGAGAAGTTAGCCAGTTATACGCAAGTTCTAAAGTTCATCTAAGAATTATAGCATACTAGCTGGCTTACCCGGCTCCGCCGTATCCGAACCAAACTTGGCACACATACACTTCGGGCCCGGCGGGTGTCACAGTCCACTTTTCGTTATCGATCGATGTCGATTTTACCGATTTTTATCGATTTTTTTGCAGAGTTCACCTACAGGGCTAGGAGTTGGCACAGGGGGGAAGTGAGCATGGGGATTCCGAATACAATATTAGTTTTCAGAATTATCGATTACTTTTATTGATTTTATCGATTTTTTGTAAATTTTGACATGCGAGGCTGGGATTTTGCACAGGGGGTAATCGAGCATGCTGATTACGAACACAATATTAGTTTTCAGGATCGTCCATTACTTTTATCGATTTTATCGATTTTTTTTGTAAAGTTTGACCTGCGGGGCTGGGATTTTGCACAGGGGGTAATCGAGCATGCTGATTACGAACACAATATTAGTTTTCAAGATCGTCCATTACTTTTATCGATTTTATCGATTTTTTGAAAATTTGAGCTAGGGGACTGGAATTTGGCACAGGGGTGTAATCTAGCATGCTGATCACCCCCCTTGGGGATGATCAGCATGCTCGATTACCCCCCTGTGCCAACTCTCAGCCCCCTAGCTCAAACTTTGCAAAAAAATCGATAAAATCGATAAAAGTAATCGATAATCCTGAAAACCAATATTGTATTCGGAATCCCCATGCTCGATTACCCCCCTGTGCGAACTCCCAGCCCCGTAGCTCAAACTTTGCAAAAAATCGATAAAATCGATAAAAGTAATCGATAATCCTGAAAACCAATATTGTATTCGGAATCCCCATGCTCGATTACCCTCCTGTGCCAACTCCCAGCCCCGTAGCTCAAACTTT